AAGGCACCTCCAGTATCCCGTGGACATGGAAATCTGTGTGTCCCATCTTGGACTACCAACAAATAGGGCTGAATACACATGGTTGCAGCATCTCCCAAACATCGCAAATCATGTCTTGCAATGTAGGAGGCTGCTGTCTACGTATTCATATCCATGGATATGTTTGCTAAGGGGCATTTCGTAAAAGCCTTCCGGCCTCCCAAGCTTGAATCAGCAAGCTTCCTGGACACATTTGCAAAGCCAAACTGCGAGAAATGTGCAAGAAACACAAAACCGATCTGGCAACTGTGAATTCGCCCGTGAAAGCCGAGTAGCGCAAATATGTAGAGCAAAAAGACCAGGAGTACCAGTCCCCAAAACATCGCCACGATGCACTTGTAGAAGCTTTCCACCATCATCGAAAGCTCACGGAACACCTCAGCCCAGATTCAGCTCCGGCCTGGTATCCACTCAAGCCTAGCACTTGCCTCAAGAGAGCTGGCTACCATCACCGACCGGCTTGGGACACGTGACCAAGACTGACACAGGCCCTCACATGTTGACAAAACTGCCCAGGTCCATGTCTTTCGATAGATTCCCTCGATCCTGCAACGTGATCCACAACAACCGCAACATGCAGCGGCGCCTTTGATAGGGGAAGCAAGCATATGTTCTGGCTAAGATCAGTCACCAAGTTACCAGAGTAACCAAGTTTTCAGAGGGCTAGCTGCTAGCTCTTCGGCCGGGCCTTGATGATGCGGATGGTCCGCAAGATCTTAGTGATCTTGAAGAGGCGGAAGAGCCGCATGAAAGACACGTTTCCGCCTTGCGGGTGGCCCGCAGGGCATCTAAGTGTTGGGCCCAAGGTCAACTTGGTACCTCGATCTCATGGCCATGTCAACCAACTTCGGCCATGACAACCAAGACGATAAAGCCGCAAACCCCATGATCTACATCCAGAAAACGAAGAGGGTAGTGGGCTTGGCAAGCAATTGTGTGTTGGAAGCTCTCGAACGTGCCAAACACGCCCAACATCAGAGTGACTTGATGAACAGGCTGCTGTTGCAACAACTTTGGCGAGCTGCTCACAATTTTCCCTTCGAGCCCCGGGTATGTGTCGGTGCTCCTGCCTCGCCCTCTCTCTCTCTCTCGCTCTATCTCTCGCGCCCCGCCATTGCTTTTGTTTTTGTCTCTCCGTGTTTCGTTGGTTGTGTCTCTTTGCCACAGTCTCTTTGTTTCTCTGCGCTTCTGCGCCAACGAGTCTATGACATGACTCCATTTTGCGCATCCTATTCTGTCCACTAGTGCCTTTGTGCTTCTATGTCTCGGTGTGTATGTGTCCCCACAACAGGGCTTTTGTGCTCCAAGGGCTTCCGTGGAAAGCTTCCGTGGAAAGTCATTGATTTCTGCTCAATCTCTGGTCTAACTTTCCAGTCCAGCTATGACTCCCGCAGTTCATGCTAGGACTGGCCACGGGAGTCAAAGCGAGATGACCGTTGAAAACGGCTCAGAGGGCTGCAAGCACAATTACGTTAAGAAAACATGAGAGTATGTTTGTTTTGAGGGTACCCTTTGGTACCGTTTAAAGGGAGACCAAAAGCAAAACCTCCAGTTTGGGGGGGTCCTCAAAAAAACGACGGGACCCACACGTAAAAACCCAACGAATTTCAAGCATGTCAATGTGTGCTATGCAGCCGGCTTCCGTTGCCCTTCTGTGGAGCTGTGATTCGAACACTGGGCAATCTGCCCAGAAGCTTTGGAACGGCCCGTAAACAGTTAGATCAGGAAGAGTTCTGAATATCCAATACTTGGGGACTCCCTACTCCCTTTGCGGATCGTGCCAAAGTTTGAATCATCGAAGGCAAGCTACACCCATGTGTCCCCTGTTCCAAAATGTGTCTAGCCAAACACAGCCAATCAAAAGTTCCAGACCGTACCTAAGAAGAAGGTCTCCTGCCTCCGTTCTCTGCCTGGGCGACAGTGTTCATCTGGACGATGAAAAACCCGACGTCTATTGCAGATAACGAGACCTGAAGTCAAAATCCAGCTGCGTTGTGAACCGCAAAGAACGCCCGCTGGACAAATGGAGCGTTGACTACACCTTGAAGTGGCCCCGAACTCATGCTTATGTTTTGCGACAACTGTGGGAACTTGGTGAGTGACCCACATTCTCCTTTCTTCAATTTGGGGAGTCTGCCCTCCATTCCGTTAGTTGCTTCACAGAATTAGGCGCGTTAGGTCAGCCCGGTGCCTGCCAAGGAGCCAGCACAAAATCGAACCAATTCCAACCTGCACCTTCTGCGACAAAGAAGAAGCATCTGTGCACCCACAGTCCTGAGGTCAGCCCGCTGCTCTGTAAACGAGACGTCAAGATGGAGGGACCAACGTGGGATCCACGTGCGGCCCATTCAAAACTCCTTGTGATGTGCGTGCCAAGGCCACAAATCTAGATTGTGTAGCTGACATGTGTATTCTCAGTGCTCATTCATCGCCTTATTGCAGAAAGTATCAAACACAGCCCAAGCTTGATGCTGCATTGTCCGAAGCTTAGAACGTATGCACCAAGCCAGCAAGCATCTGGAAAGTACGTCCATCAACAATCACTGAACCTTTCTTTTTGGATTGACCCAAAGGCTCATACGCAATCATGGATTCGCTGATCAACAGGAGACCGATGGTAACAAAGCACCTGCTAAACGCTGAACACTTTTGAAACTGCTGCGAGCCATTCGACGCCCTGCATCTGGGTGTACTTAGTGGGATGACAGTGACGACATGCCAACCCAATGGTTTACTCAGGCCACTCAGCGAGCACAGTGAACCAACACGTTCGGAGGACAACAAATGTTGTACGTGTCCATGGCCTCGCTTTTCTATCTGTGCGGAGTGAAAGGAGGCTGTGCAAAACCTGCTCCACACGGAACCTTCCAGGCAGCCTTTTGACCTACGGCAGGTGCCCTGATGAATTCTCGGGGAGTCCTGGGATGCTGCCCTCTAGGTTGTTTTGCTTTCACAATAGGAGCTCTTTTCAACTGGTTGGTTGCGTTTGTCTTTGGAACACAAAATTGTAGTCAACACGGAAACCGACATGCTACATGTATCTCGCTTCGACTGCATTCAAATCCTCATGATGGATGCATTTTGAGGCCGCATTCCATTTCAGAAACAAACCACCTTCCATTCTCCCAACGTCAGTGTCCTTACCTTTCATGCCGGCGCGAACCAGTCTGCCCTCCAAAAGGGACAAGGGACACCCCTGGAACCACTTTCTGACATGTCAGTTCTGCATGTGGGAAAGGGGTACTTGAGCGTGGCTGAGCTAGGCATGTAGCAACTAGGAAGCTGACAAGGGAAGGGTCCAGCGCCCCAAATGCTTGGCTTACGAAGTCCCTGCCCCTCTTTCGCCCAAGCAACGGAGGCTGAGCTCCAGGGCATAGAAGGCAAGAAAGCCCATCTCCAGGTAGGTGAACCTCAAAACGTGTGCCAAGCCTCACGGGCTCCTTGCCAAAAAGAAACAGCTATCCAACAAACACGATCTTCGTTGCTTGATGGGACGACTCATAGATTCGCTTGCAAATTTTGCTGCTCGACGTCCCCATGTTTGCAAATCAACACAGATTTCCAAAGCACAAATTGTTCAATCTCCTTGAGGGAAAGGACTCGACGGGGAAAAGTTGTACGAGTTCTTGGCTGATGCAACCTCAAATCTGGAAGGTGCGAGGCACATGTCCGGGGAGAAAAGGCTTGCGTCGCCGCCCGAGCCATTCAAGGTGCTCACCTCCCAGTCCTCGGTTGCGCCGACTTTAGCACGGAGTTCCCGAAACGGTCAGTTGGACACTTGAAATGGGAACTTCGCTTAAGGATCCATGTTTTTGGAAGAAAGCGGGTTGTGCCTGAGTCTTGACACGCAAAGTAGCCAGAGGACCTCGCGCTCATCTATTGACCGTGGAATTGCAACGGTGGGGCTGGGAGGGAGCTGGCGTCACTCCAATGCAATTTGGTCCACCCGAAACTCAACAGTGGTGGCATGAATGGTTCTGACTGATTGACAATGCCTTCACCTGCTCTGTGTTGCATACAAATATGCCATCAATGGTACCCTGGTATTTGCGGCATGGGCTCTACCATTCAACATCAAACACAGAGCTACATGCAATTCATCCATACGTTGGCAAGCCCAGCCATGGATTCCATTGGCAGACAGTCGGCAGCAGAATCGCTCGAGTTGTTCTGCGTTCCGAGTTTCCTTAAACATGACCCTGGCTTGGAATCCTGGAGTGAAGGGTTGGATTGATGTCGTGTTGGTTTCCGAATTGGTTTTTGGGGTGGGGTTGGGCTGGATTTCCGTTTGGTTTAGGATTTGTCTATGGTTGATCTACAGCTTTCAAGTGCGGCACACTTGGTCGGCACAGCCCATATCAGCCGAACGGTTCTCAGACCGAGCGGCGGATGACATGGTCACAACCACCGCGTGCATGAGGATCACCGTGGATGATAATGTGAAGAAAACTCTAGACCTGCACTCACTCGCCCTTTGGCCTTGCGAGAGCCTTGCATGTGGCAACCCATCTCAAAGCTCTGAAGCTCTGAGGCTGGCGCTCCAACAATTTCGCAGCGCAAGTGGTTCGCTCCTGGGCTCGCTCCACGCCCCCACCCCCCCCCCCGCCCCCACAGTCTCAGGTGGTGAAAGTGGTGCGTCCAGGGGATGGATGCTCCTGCCACACCTCACCAGAAATGGCAGGCTTCTCAATCAGCAAGGTTGCTAAGTTACTCCATCAAACAAAATTGGACCAGCGGCACCAGCGAGACCAAAGGATCTCGGGCCAAAACCGCTATTGCCCCCATCCCAAATGCGAAGCCGCTCAAGCAACTCTGACCGTGGAACGAGTTCAGCAATCGTCTCACATGAACCAAACGACTAAATGGCATGCGACTCGCTTGGCTTAGCCTGGATACCTGGTCTTCTTGAATCAAGTAACGCTTGTGTGGCAACGGTAAATACAAGCAAGTCTCACATCCGAGGCTCTGGTTCCTCCAAATGCGACCACCACTTGAGCGTTGAATGCAGCATGGCCCCCATAGACCTGCAGGATGAGTGTTGAGAGTGGCCGTCCTCGTGGAAAGAGATCTTGAAGTTCCTCGCTGACATACAAATCGTGGTTCACTCACAGGCTCATGTGAAAGGAATCCGCACAGATACATGCAAATCTCAGACTTCCAAATATAGAATCCCAGCCAAACGCCCCCGTCGCTCTTTCGGGTGAAATCAACTGACCAATTCAATTTCGTACACTCACCGGCACCATCTCGCATTGTCACTTGTATTCTCAGTCATGTGCACATGACGTCGCGATGAGAAACACTACCTGGACTTGACTGCGGCAGCTAGCGTGAAAACCGTAGCTGTAAACAGAGAATCGCAGTTTGAGGGGAAGCCGAAGCAAGACCAACGATGATGGAGGAAGCTGCGGAGGACAAAAGAGGAGCGATATTGGAAACAACCATCTATAGAGCCCGAAAATGCAGGAAGACTTCTTATGAAAAACCATAGTGGAGGAAACTATAGAGCATGATAGAGGAACCTCCTGAAGACACTAGAGGAAACTACCAAGGACAATAGAAGCTAAAGAGGTCATACTATAATCCTCCGACCCCTCTGCTTCCCGTTCTCAAGCTCATTCCGGAGCGGCGTGGTATGCAACCTGACGGTGTATTTTGCTGGGGCCCCGTGTTCCCGCACAAAGAGGAACCTATAGACCAATGGAGCTGAGGAAAGCAAAGGGAACCAAGAGAATACAATAGCCAAGCTCAGGAAACTCAGGAAGCTAATGACAATAGCAGATGAAAGAACACGAAGAACATAGGAGACAAACGCATAATTTAGCAAAACGTGTGTTATAAGAAACACGTTTCCTTGCAAAGAACTGATAAAGTTTCAGTTTGAGAAGGGAAGGCATCACTCAGCCACAAGAATGACATGTTTGCTAGTGCCGAGCTAGCCCGATAGCGCCGAATCTCTCCCTTTTGAAGCCTGCAAGAGAAAATCTGTAAGGCCAGCCCCGAGCCAAGATGCGAGCATGAAGCAAGGACAGCCGAATGCTTGCGCGTGCCGCTGCCGCAAAAGGACAGCTAGATGCGTGCAAATAAATCATGCCCATTCTGTATAGTTTTGACAACTCCCCCATTGACTTCTACTCTTTCTTTATCGCCCTCTCACAACGCAAGGAGAGGATGTCTGAGGCATCAAACGCATACATTCGCTAGCAAGAAAGAGCAAGCATCAACGTCTCAAACGCGCATTCAAAAGCTTCAACTCTTCTACTGAATGAAACTCCCCACTCGCACTCACAACGTCTTTGCCTTTGGGGAGATCTCCCCGCCATTCCCCGTTTTGCGAGGCGCCCGATGGCCACGTGCGCCACGGAGGCCGTGGACTCCTTGCGAGCGGTGATGAAGCGCCGCATTCCTCGAAGCGGAGACCGGGGACGAGGGGAACCCAACCAATGGGAGGCGGTGTCGCTGGCGGGTCTGTGGTGACAAGGCAAACACCTGTTTTTTTTTGCTTTTTTGTTTGTGAAAACTGAAGGTGCTGACAAGCAAGCAAGTTGAATGATTTGGTTTCTGGTGCTGTTTTGTCAGGGAGCACGCCTGTACCACAGCGGTGTCACTTAACGTTTACATTGATCTTAGGAGAATGCAATGTCAAAGGTGTCGACAGCAACCCGCAAAAGAAACTCCATCGCAAATATTGTCCCACAAATAGACAACTGGTCTCCGAAGAAACAACTCCTTAGAATGATGGCCAACACACGCCATGAGCAGCTGCAAACACTGCAGTTTCTTCCGGTGTGGGATTCTTGGTGACAGTCTACAGTGTCCGTAGTCATGATCCTTGCCGAAGAGTTGAGAGCTTGACCACGCAGATTCCTTGTAATAACACACTTTCCATGTCAAGGAAAAAAACAATTCTCCACAAGTCAAAGTGAAACGGGCCTGTCCCGGATACCTATATATATATATGTATATATATATATATGTATATATATATATATATATATTTGCCTGTATATTATATGACTTTTCATGTAACTTCCTTCAGAAAACAGCCCAAAACGGCTTCCCTGCTTCGGGACCCCCCCCCTCCCCAACGCTGCTTCCTCTTCAGCCCGGGACGCTGCAAGCTCACGGCTCTGCTCCCTCACTCCGCAGAAACAGAAAGAAACAGGAACGCTTTTGACACTATGGAATTTCGCTGGGTCGGGTCCAGCCGAAGACATCATCAAGAATGTACTGAACGTCCAAATGAGAGGCCCCCAACGCAGCCAAGAGACCCAGGTAGGACGCCGTGCCCTCGCTGGACTTTGGTTCTGGCCAAGGCCGGGGTTCTCCCCTTAAGTAGCATCAAAGCATCTAAGAAAACATAGAGACGTGCTCTGCATGATCCTCATGGCTCCGGCTTACTAGAAGTCCAAATCAGCGTGTCGCAACTTGAGGCAGAAGTCGCACCCAACCACCCTTCCACCCACTCAGCCACCCATCCACCCACTCACCCACCACACCTCTTCCCAAGCCTTCGCAAAGGACTTTCCCCAACAGAATTTGCCTTCGCGCAACTAGATTTCCCGGGATGGGGCCGCTGAAGTATTGAAGATGTTCAATCGACTTTCTTTCGCCACATTCCGGCTCGACGTGTGCTTAACACAAAGCATGGACTGGGGGCTGAATAGGCCTGGCACGATCACGCAATGGTCTATCCTTTCTTGGTGTCCTGGGCAAATCTTATCACGAGCTTTTGAGCACCCAGTTCAACGAATGTCTCCCGCCTCCTGAGGTCTTGCTCAGGTTGCGGTCGCTGATATTGCGGGGGCTGAGTGGACTGCGAGGGCCTTGGTTCAAAGCAGCCCTTTCCATCCGATCTTTCCGAAATTCGTCATCGGATGGGTGGGGAGTTAGGGCTGGGAGTTAAATATGAGCTGGAGCTATGGCTAGAGTTTTTGAAAACTGTCAGATATGTCATGCTCTTCTTCAACTCTTAGACCTTGGAAGTTGTGGAATGCGACTAGCCAAGCATGCGACCCAGTACACAGGCTCATGCTGTTCAGAGAGGCAAGGTTTTCTGAGACATCAAGATGTTTGATGAGGGAATGTGGTTCGATTATATACCATGTTTACAGAGGGTTGACCATGGAGCCCAGTCTTTTCAGGCCCTGGCTTGGTGGCCAAAAATACGGCCCAACGCCCCTCTCATCCGCTTGAAGCAGCTTACATCCCTTGGAGAAAGCGGTGTTGCATCAATTCCTCAAGAAGGAACAAACAGAAAGAACTGTTGCGAGGCCTCAGGAATGTGACTCCCAGAGTGGCGGCATCGCATCACTTGGGCCGGAGTATGCGCAAATGGCATGATATGCCTCACTCCCAATGTGTAAGGCTTTTTATCTTTCTTGACACAGGCAGTTTATAGCAATCTCGCCAGGGTAGGGCAAAAGACAGATCAAGGTGTTGCTCTTGGAGTCGCTACATTGTGTTCGCCCCGTGAATTATGAAGGTTTTCTTTCAAGGGGTTCAGTCGGGCTTCAAGTTCAGGCTTTGGGCCGCTGAGCGTTTTGCGTGCTGAGGGCACCTAACATGGCAGCTATCTCGGACATGTCGCAAATCTTCACAGACTTGGTCGAGACCGGCGTGTGGTTGCCCTGCGTGGCCTTGGCACGAACAGCTTGGAAGCTTGTTATAAAAGTTTTTGTGATAAAAGTTGTTGGGGGTCGTGTATCTCCAAAGGGACAAGCTGTTCAAACTAACCTGAGCGTTTGAGGTCGTCCTTTTCTAGAGCCAAAATGTATAACGAGCGGTACGTTTACCACCTGCGACCTGATTTTAAATCACTCGTGCAGTCACCTGGCTTGCAAACGACTTCTTTTATGTTTTGAATTGTCGAGCACAAGCCTCACTATGAAACGATGATCTCACTCTCACACAGCTTTGCCAATGCCAAGGCGATGTGACGGCAGGGGTTGTTTAAGAAACCGCCTTTCATCACTCCTACGCTACGAACTGAGTGGTGCAACAATGCTGCATCAGTGGCACTTGTGGCTCGCCCGATCTTGCAACATCCAAACGCCGCTCTCTTAAATAGCACCAAAAAACGCGCAAGAGGAGTCCATGTAAGTTTTCCGGCAATAGGTACGAGGGCACGAGCGCGCGCCCTCGGAAGCTCCCCGCCTCCTCGTTCAGCGCCGGGTACCGGTTATTGATCGTATCCTTGGCAGTTTGTCGCCATTTACAAAGGACTAGTCAGCTCAGCAAACGAAGCCTGTAATCCAGGCAACGACATGGGCTTCACAAATCTTCATTACTATTTTCATAGATTGAGTCATGTCGGTAAATTCCCAAAAAGGATTGAGGTCTATGCCGTACTGCACACCTGCTCGTATTAAGCAGTTCCACAAAGGTCTGTCACCGGCTGCATCAACTACCCTCTTTCATGCAATCACGAAAGGGACAAGGGCCCTTTGAGCATCAATGCCGTCTTCCGATCGACGCTCACTTTTTTGCCCGATCGTCCGAGTCTGTTGGCAAAAGATCAAAGGTAGGCGCAGCAAATTGAGTCCCTCTCACACGGGCCAAACTTGCGACCCATGGGGAACCAGAAAAGGTTCTCATACCTCAACCCGAGAAACAAAGGGACGGATAACCCCGCATGTCTAGCAATAGAAAACACAGGTCCGCGTGAACCGGAAGCATGCACGGTTTCCCGCGGGAGCGCAAGTCAATATCCCGCAAGATGCGGTGAGCGCGAGTCAATCGAGCGCACGAGTCTGCGTTCTCGTACGCGTTGTCGTGCGCGCGCGTAAAAGTGTGCCTCCATAGCTGAGGGGGGCTGAAGGAATCTCTACTTCATGGACTCCACCATGTCCGCGCCGTCCATATCCATTGCTCGTGGACCAAAAACAAAGCACCCAAGTGAAAAGGGGAAATCTGAGCACAAACTGGTCTTGAGCCAAAATGGCCTGGAAGTCTCTCATGCCACCTGGCCCCGTGACAACCGAGTATGAAAGCGTAAACACTGTCAACTCTGGCATTGTTAGAAAGAGGGCAGGCTCAGGATTCTCCAGCTTCAAATGGCAAGTTTCCTATGTTTCGCGGCGCTAGCTCGGCCTTTCATGCCAAGAGGCTTCCGAGACGTACTTCTCTTTAATGGCCAGAAGCTTGGCCTTGGTATTCCTGAGTTGCACGAAATGGCTGGGGATCCGGATCCATATCCGAAGGCAACAGGAGTGCTGCGGAGCAATCGCAGGGGAATGATCGTAGCTAAACATACGCAAATAACAACTATATCCTTCTCTATGACTGGAACAAACGCAGCTTCGTCCAGGCTACTACTTGGAACACCATCAAGACATAAAGCCCAAAAAGAGCCACACAGAGCTTCCTGCTTGCATTTCCGTACTGCTCTGGGCATGCTTTACGCCAACTCTCCCGTGCCCGGGCTACGGGGAGTAGACAAGGCTCGGTCTCACAAACAAAAAAACGAGAATCATTAACCCAAAACAAGAAGCAACGAATCGGTAGGGCATCTCATTTCGACGTGCAAGCATCCACACGTACGACAAGGATATTTTCGCGCCCGACAAGAGCAAACAGCGTGCACCGCACTGCTTCCCAAATCGGCCTGCCTGCACAAAAAGATACAAGACTCTGGGCACACAATGCCATCCAGGATGCACAAGAACTTGATAATTGTCAACCCACAAACATACACTAAAGGTACAGACTTAACATCAGAATTCAGCCCTATTCTAAACATATGTTGGTCAGGCCAAAATCCAAAAAGCACCCCCTTAACTTTGAATGCACCCAGTACTAAATCAATGCTAAATTATTGACAGCCATTTGAGGGTACTTTCAGCTCCTGCGTTCTTTTAATTGCAAACTTAACTTTTACATTGCATTTTAATTTTGCATTTCAAGCTTGAATTGACAACAAAATGCCTTGAGCAAGTCCAATTTCTTACTCGGCAGATTTCGATTTGCTGGTCTTTGCGCCCGGCAAAGCGGGCAACCATTTTGACGAGGACTGTAGTGGAAACCCTCTGGGACACCCTGGAACCCTATAGGGAGGGCCAGGGGTGGGCGATGAACAACTCACAACAAGCTCGCTCTTCTGATGCCTGAATGTTCTCGAACACACTCCCTTGGGTTGCGACAACCATTCTCGCTAACAGCATGCCGCCTCGTGGCTGTGTCTCGAAATTCTCCCACCTCCCGCACCCAGGGTTTGGGCGTTGCGCATTTGGGACTGCCAAAACCAGCCGCCCTTGTCCCTGCGCCCAATCTGAGTCGAGGCGCTCGTGTCGTGCTGAAGCAGCGACCGGAGATCGACTGCTCTGAATAGAAGAGTACATGGGCATGCTGCTGTGGCGCTGCCTCGCGGTTTTCATAAAAAGAGAGGCCGAAGGCGATTGATTTCACAGGCCGAAGGGAGTGCATCCCATGGGACGCACCGCTGGGTTCTTGGGGGTAAAAAGGCAACCAACATGGGTGGGGGATCACTATTTCCAGAACACAGCCGTATCAACACATGGAGCATGGTTGGACCAAGTGCTTGAACCGTTGTGAAGGCCCTGAACATGGGTTTTTGCAGATCAGATCACTTGACAACAAAGCCAAACTTTATCCTGAAGCAAGTCCGACGACTACCAAGTATGGAGCAAAATCAGGCCTTAAGCGGCCAGCGCAACGAGGATCGGAAGGGGTGGGCAGGACACGAGGTGCACATGAACAAACCAGGACTCTAGTCTAAGCAAGCTGCCAATACTCAACAAGGAACAATTCGGAAGCCTCAACACGATCAAACCATCAGGCACCCTTCCTTGGGGATACTACATACAACCGCTATGCAGAATGAGCTACGGCTAAAATACACAGATAATTTATATACACGCCATGATCGATTATACTGTCGTACTATGACACGAAACATGACACACACTGCTTGGATATGTGATCTATGATGCACAATGCATGATGTACCATGTGTGACATGTAATAACCGTGTGGTTGCGAACATCCTGTGTTCGTGGACCCTTCAAAGGATGGGCCAATGGGATTCCCTGTTCATGACTTTTTGGTGGATGAATCCTTCTCTAACGTGCAATCAACACGCCACCAAAGATCCCAGTCGAGGTGCTGGGGAGGAATATGCTTCTCTGGGGGGGGTCAAGCCCATCAGCAAAGATAGCAACAATCGTTCTCAGAGTACATTATTTTCTAACAACTAGCGACATGTCTTGTGCTGTAACAAACCGTCCGCAAACCAACGTTACACCGACATCACGACGCCATCTGTGTGCGAATGCAGAAACTATTTGCAGGAAAGTAGCAGACAGATCAAACAGCAAACACTGATACGACTTCAAATCCTGACAAGCCAGCCCTTTCGAACGAACCACACACACACACACACGCACTCTCACTCCTGTCTCTCTCTCTCTCTCTCTCTCTCTCTCTCCCTTGTGCTCGCCCAACACAGCGACACGTCTGGCAACGTCCCAGTCCCGAAGTTCAAGGATGTGGATGGACCTGAGTGTCTCAAGCGCGAAAGGCACAGGGTTCTCCATGCATTTCTTATTGCCCAAAGAACACCACCCGGCAAATCGGACCTACATGAACCCCCTGCTGAATACGCCTGTATGAAAAAATCACATCAGGCATGTCGTCTCTACTTGGATTTCAATTCAGCATGTTTTCTTGAGGAGTCTCTCACTGTTGACAACGGTGTGCCTCACAGCCCATGTCAAGTGTCTGTTCAAGATGTTTGGGCTTGGCCTGCATGCATGTACAAAGCGATGGGGACTGTACTTTCGGGAGTTTGAAGGACCAACATGAAGCAGCCTCGCGGCGACGACCCAAATAGAAAGAGCCCCACCTGCGGCCGATCACTTCAGCTCAATGTACAACATGGTGGCAAATTCGCTTGAACCGGCAGCAAAACGACTAGTCCAATCACCATCAAGCTCATGATTCCTTGGAGACCTAGTCACCCTGAGTAACTACGATACCCCCACACGTGACAAACCAGATGCATAGAGCCCCCTTCGGAGGTCCTTCGGCCTGGGCACAGCTGTGCTTCTGCCAGCACTGGTGTTGCTTATGTTGCTTTTGCATGCTTAGAGGACCGTTTGGACAGGCAGAGCCGCAATACAAATCTGCCTTGGTGTAAGCAGTGTGGTTTTCTCTTGTACACTTCCAGGTGTGACACTTGCCGGTGTGACACTTCCAGCCTCTGGGCCCTGAATTGCTCGCAAACAGCAGCACTAAAGGAACCAAATCGGCCATTCAAAGCAAATTACCAGACGCAAGTGTCTGTGCCAGCGTGTGCTGCGTCTACGCAAAGATCATGGATAAGCTTCTTCACCATGCAGTTCTTCCGCAATGCTGGAACGTTCAAGCCTCTGCAAGAAGAATGTTTTTTGGCTTGATCATTTGCAACTCAAAACTCAGTACCTCTCCATGTCAAAACTCGGGGCACCGTCTTGAACTACTTCTTTCAGGAAGCTTGACATGAGTTCACATGACATCAACCAAATCACGAAGACCGCAACGTCTACCTCTTCAGAAGATCATACTGCAGGGTTCCACTTTTTCACTACCCCAAGATAGACTTAAACCCAGGGTGGTTGATTTCCCTCAAAGGTACACCCTTGGGTTTAAGTCTATTTTTGGGTAGTGAAAAAGTGGAACCCTGTCATACTATGGTAGACGTTGCTCCGGCCTCGCTCGCGTTTCCGTCCTCGCGTTTCGGCCGCGGGGCTGGCGACCTTCCGCTGCAGCTCCAGGGTCAAAGGCCTGACCCGAAGCAGCGGCAGCAGCTCCTGACAGGGGGCTGGCAGTGGGGTGAAGCTACCCGCATGTGTCCGTTGTTCTCTGATGTTCTCTGTTCCCCCCCCACGTCTTCTCATAAACTGGAAACTACTCATGGAGACGGAGCTGACTTCCGTGTCACGGAGACGGTCGCTTCAAACATATGCCATTTGCTGACACCAAAGCCTTCCAGCCTCCTTGCTCCACGTTGTTGCCCAACAAAGACAAAGGCGTTGCGCAACAGTCGAGAAGGACTTGGCTTACAATGACCTCTGGTTACCATTTGCCACGCCGCTAGCACAAGCAAGCAATTGGACTTGGCCTGACTGTCCGAGGACATGGTTGCAGAATGAGGCATGACCTTCTACAAGTAAGGTCCGGCAGAGCCGGGGGGCGGAAGTTTCAAAGCAGTGAACAACTATAGTTTGGAGAACTGTCCTTGGCCCCTTGCTTCTCTCTCTCTCTCTCTCTTTTTCTCTCTTTCTCTCTTTCTCTCTTTCTCTCTTTCTCTCTTTCTGTTTCTCTGTCTCTTTCTCTCTCTTTCTATCTATCTCTCTAGCTATCTCTATATCTGTTTATTGATCTATCTATCTACCCATCTTTCTCTGCACTTAAAAGTTGCGATGTTCAATCCCCGAAAGTTGACTTCGCGTACTACTTTCGTACTTAAAAGTTGCGATTTTCGAGCCCCAGCTGCGAAACTGGACTTCACGTACTACTTTCGTAATTAAAAGTTGCGATTTTCGAGCCCCAGCTACGAAAGTGGACTTCGCGTACTACTTTCGTACTAAAAAGTCGCGATTTTCCAGCTGCGAAAGTGGACTTTGCGTACTACTTTCGTACTTAAAAGTTGCGATTTTCAAGCCCCGGCTGCGAAAGTGGACTTTGCGCACTACTTTCGTACTTAAAAGTTGCGATTTTCAAGCCCCAGCTGCGAAAGTTGACTTCGCGTACTACTTTCGTACTTAAAAGTTGCGATTTATCTATAGATCTACCTATCTATCTACCTCTCTATCTCCTATCTATCTATCTACCTCTCTATTTATTTATCTCTCTATCTCTTTATCTATCTAGCTAGTTATTTGTCTATCTATCTACAAATCTATCTATCTCTGTCTATCTCTGTTTCTCTATCTCTTTCTATCTATTTCTCTAGCTATCTCT